AGTTTCTTTTGAATCTTCTGGTGACTGACAACCCCCCAGAGAGGGCAATACTGCCCCATTTTGGGTATCAGAAGAGGTTAATTATGGCCACAAGCTGAGAGAATTGGGAACCCAATATTTTTCTACTTCTAATTATTATTATTATTATTTTTTTTTTGGTCTTTTTGAGACAGGGTCTCACTGTGCAGTGCAGGCTGGACTTGAGCTCACTTTGTAGCCCAGGCTGGTCTCAAACTCACAATGACCCTCCTGCCTCAGCCTCCCAAGTGCTGGGATTACAGGTATGAGCCACCACACCCGACCTAATTATTACTATTTTTAAAACATTTAGCTATGTGTGCACCAGAGAGATCTCCCAGGAGAAGAGTACAGCATCCTCTGCATGTTTTCTGGGTTTCTTGATTCCAAAAGTGGATGATAGGGTCCTTACTTAGTGAAATAAAAGTCATAAAATTATACTCTTGCTGGAGAAGGCCGGCCCGCAGTGAAATCTGGCTGGAAGAGGAGGAGAACTCTAGTCAGCTCATCCCAGAGGATTCTCATTGCCACCTTTGACCTTGACGCAGGAAAAGGATCATCAGATTCAAAGCCACATAAGGGACACAGACCATAGAGGCCTGAGTGTGGGCAGGGAAATTCTGTTTTCCATAGTGTGGATGTTACTGGGAGAAAGGCGAATGTCACACTCTTGGCTTGGGAACCATCTCTCTAGGGCACTGTGGGCAAAGGTACCATCCTCTTCCACCTTCCCAAACTTGCAGATTGGTGTCTGGGCTGCTGCTCAGGACAACATAGACAGTTTTCCATCTTTACTACCAGAGCAAAAAAGCACTAAAGATTCTTTTAAAGATTTAGTTTCTCAGACCAGTGCAGGAGCTCATGTCTGTAGTCTCAGCACTCTGGGAGGTTGAGGCAGGAGGGCAGCTAAATGATTTACAAAGTAAAAAACTACCAAGACTGGACATGTAATTCAGTGCAACGTTTTGGGGTTCATCCCCTAATACTGAGAAAGAAAATAAGTTAATTTCTTTTTTTGCATGATTTTCTAACTCCTAAAACCCAAAACCTTTATTAATTTGGGAAACTCCAATTTAGGAAAAATGCTTCAAAATTATATGTGTGATGATTTATGGCAAAGTGGAGAATGGATAAACATGAGAGCCGGTTGGGCGGCCCGCAGTCTGGAGCTCCCTCAAAACAATGCTACTTTGTTCAGCATTTCCTTTACTTAACCTTAGGACACAATGCAAATTATTTATGTTCAAAACAAAAAAGTCATACCCTGTGAATATGAGTATGACATAGCATTCAACTTATTTGAACTTAGTTTCCAACAATTTAACATTTTTTGTGTGAGTGCTGAGACAAGGGCTCACTGTGTAGTTCAGACTGGCTTTGAACTCACTGTGCACCCTAGGCTAGACTCAAACTGGAGGCCATTCTCCCGCCTCAGCCTCTTGAGTGCTGGGTTTACAGGGTATATATTACCATGCCTGGCACCCACAATTTAATTTTCAAAAAAAATATCATCAATAGATAGTATTAGTCATTCACACTTAAAGAACTGTAAATATAGCCATAAAGTCAAAAAAAGATTTTTTTTCCTGGTTACTCAAACTTTCCTCAATTTTCTGTCATTTATTTCCTTTTTAGTGCTTTTTTTGTCTTTTTCGTTTTTATCGGTACCAGGGATCGAACTCACGACCACACACTTGCAAGGCAAGCACTTATGCTGCTGAGCTAAATCCCCAGCCCCTTTTAGTGCTTTTTTTAAAAAAAGATCTTACAAATGAGACATTTCCTTGGGAGCCAAATGAAAGATTTTATATTTAGGTAAAATAATGAAACACAGTGCTGTGCTCTGTACCTTATTCAGCTTCTGAATTTTTTTTTTTTTTTTTTTTTTTTTTATCGGTACCAGGGATTGAACTCACAACTGCACCCTTGCAAGGCAGGCACTTATGCTGCTGAACTAAATCCCCAGCCCCTCACTTCTGAATTTTAACTAAAGGAGGCACTAACTTCAGGAGGACATCAGCTGACTGCTTTTGGAGTTGGAAGTACTGCTGGTCTTGTGTTGACAAAATATCACCAGAAGTAGGCTGGTGCCTGGGAGGTATGCTCTACTTACCTTTTTTTTTTTTAAATGGGTACTTGGGGATCAAACTCATAACCCTGCACTTGCCAGGCAGATGCTTATGCCACTGAACTAAATCCCCAGTCCTAGGAGGTGTGTTTAAAAACATCCATTGCAAGACACTATTTCAGGAGACAACATTTTGTAGTACAGTAGCTCAGGAGCAGAACTGAGAAAGGAGACCACTGTTTTAAAAAAGTAATTCCAGCAGTGTTTCATGTTCCTTCCACAGGAAAAGGTGGCCCAGATACCTATTTCACCTGGCTCCAGGCATTCTAGAGAGCTCTGGCTTTGATTTAGGACTATGAGCAGGATATTAGCCTCTCTGAGTTGCAGTTTTTCTCTTGTAAAGTGGTGGTGTTATCTTTTTTTTAAATCACTATTAGAGATAATATTGAAGTTGTAAATAAGACTTCTTTGAAAGTATACCATATAGCTGGGCACGGTGGCACATGCTTGTAGTCTTTGCACTCAGAAGGCTGAGGCAGGAAGATCGCCACCAGTTTAAGGCCAGTCCGGATGATATGGTGAGTTTAAAGCCAGTCTGAGTTATATAGTGAGATTCTGTCTCAAAAAACCAAAACCCAAAACAACAACAAGTAGACCATATAGTAAAACATGATATAAAATAATAAGCAATCTCTGTCAATTCTTACTATCCTTATTAACATATGGATGCTTTGAAGAGTTAGTGCTAAAGCCCAGGGCTGTTATGAAGGGTGATTTCTGAGATTAGCAAGGGTTCAGCACACAGCACATGCCATGTAATGTTGGGCAGCGCCCTGTGAGTGTCCTGTGTGGGCAGTGGTTCCCAGCAGAGGCATATGAGTCAAGACAGACCTGGGCGGGGCTGCATTTAACTCTGCTTTCTGCATCTGCCATCTCAGAAACACTGCCGCAGAGAAACCCAAACTATAAATAACCTAAAGAGCAAGGTAGAGGAGAGATGGTATGAAAGTGGGAGATAGTCTTTTTGGAGATGGTTAGGGATCTGGAGAAGTAGAGAAGACAAAAGAGGTTAAAAATGATCAATATGTGCTATCTATCTATTTATCTATCTATCTATCTATCTATCTATCTATCTATCTATCTATCTATCTATCATCTATCTACCTATATTCAATTCCCCAAGATGAATGAAATTACTATGTATTACAAACATATAGTAATATTTTAAAAATATATAAACATTGCTCTGTCACAGTATGTCTCATAAGGCTGTGCATCCTTTTCTGCAAACCAGGCTCTAGGGAATGATCAGCAGTTTCCAGAATCACCTTGTTTCTTTCTCTTTTTTTGGTCCTGGGGATCCACCTCATAACCTTGCACTTGCTAGGCAAGTGCTCACCACTGTAGCCCCAGCCCTCCAAAAGTGCCTTGGGACACCGCTTCCTTGCTTAGCTCGTGGTTCCCTCTGTAGGAGGGCTCTTTCTCCTCCCATTTCCTGCCTGGCTAACATCCATTCTCCTCAGCAGCCTCCAACTGGACCTATCTTCTGACCTGTGACATGATTTGGAGGTTCTTCCATCCACCTGTTCTTTGCCACCTTCCTTTGGCCCAGGCAGTGGCCTCTGGTGTTGCCCTTCAGATAGTCTGGATCCGGGTACCTCCTGAAGGGCCATGTAATAATCGCCTCATCCCAAGCTTGGTTCTACCTGAAGGTAGTGGAAACTATTAAGTGATGGGGCCCAATGGCAGGTTTTAGGTGACTGGGGGCATGCCCTTGAACTGAACTGTGGAATGGCCCACCCACTATGCACTGAACCTTCTGAAATGTGAGCCAAATAAACCTTTCCCCTTTATAAATTGAAAACTCAGGTATTTCGTTATAGTAATGGAAAGCTAACTATACCCACTTTAATACTGACTAGTACTTTTGGCCTTAGTACATACCAGGCAGACCTTAGTATTTTTATGTATATTACTTCATCAAAGTCCCATAATTATCCTGTAAAACAGGAATGAGTACAGATGAAGAAATAAGCTCTAGAAAGACTGTGGTTTGTGTAAGGTCATACAAATACAAGTGACAGAGCTGATACTTGAACTCAGACCTTTTGTTGTGAATTGTAAATTTCTAGCCGTTTACAGGAAGTCAAGTAAGAAATATTCAACAAACAATTGCTACTATTATTTTGACATGACCTAACTGTTAACCTTCACAGGGAAGGGATTTAAGCCCAAGCTCATAACCTTAGTACATGTGTGTGGAAAGTACGGCATAATTTCCTTTTTTTTTTTTAAATTTTTATTTTTTTATCAGTAACGGGGATCGAACTCACAACCACAGGCTTGCAAGGCAGGCGCTTATGCCGCTAAGCTAAATCCCCAGCCCCAGTACAGCATAATTTCTTTGAGAGTGAGGACCCTGCATCTGGCTTCTGGAATGTCCCAGAGTACAGTACCATTTTTTCTCAGTGACTGATGGTTTCTATCACATAATCTCTACATTGATATTTCATTGTGCATCATACTTAGTCCCCTATCTACTGAACAAGGAGGGTGTAGAACTATCAAGAAAGATTTCTTTTTTGTACTGGATATTGAGGCCTTTGCACTGAGCTATATCCCTATTCTTTTTTATTTTTTAGAGACAGGCTGTCAGTATGTAGTCCAGGTTGGTCTTGAACTTGCAGTGATCCTCCTGCCTCAGTCTCCTGCTGGGATTACAAGCAGGTGCCATCATGCCCAGCTACTCATCCCTTTTTGAGACTGGGTCTTGCTAAGTGGCTAAATTGTCCAGGCTGGGTGGGGCTTGAAATCCTCCTGTCTTAGCCTCCCAGAGTTCCTGGATTATAGACATGTACCACTGTGCTTGGCGTAAAGTTGCTTTTTGATGAGGGACACAAGAACACCAACCATCTAAATAAACATCCTCTTTATTTTACCAAATATAATTTATCAGTTAATTTGACATTTGTCAATTCAGTTATAGTAACTATAAATAATTCTCTTAAGACACAGTTTTGTAACTTTTGAAGGATACAAGAGTAAACTGATATTGTTCCTTGCAGCCAGGCCAAAAGTACATGCAGTTGTAATCGGGGAGAGAAATGAATCCTCCGTTGAAGTCACTTCCATTTTTTTTCCCTCCCACCCCACAGTCCTCCTCTGCTCACATGCTCCGAGGCTCGGCCATGCCCGCTTCTCTGCTTTCTAGGCAGAGGACGGGTGCTCTGCAGCCCTCCAGAACAGCTTGGCTGAACTCTAGAGATGAGGGGAGGACACGTGGCTGAACACCCGGGCACAGCCTCAGGGTAGGGTGTCTGTACAAGTCTGTGTGCAGGTGTGTTCTGAGGTGGTGGAAAAGGCCAGAGCAGAAATGAGCTCAGGCTAGTGTTAATGAACTCTGCTGGGCACAACTCTAACTTGATAACCTCTGTGACTGCTTCAGATTCCAAGGTTCTAGATTCCCCAAGGTGGCCTGGGAGGAGGGTAAAGGGACAGAAAGGATGCTTCGGAGATCTAGGGCAAGCTCTGGGATGAAGGCATGGTTCTGACAGTCACGGGGCCACTGCTCACACCTCCCTGGGAGGCGGGCTCTCACGGATAGGCTAGAAAAAGGCTGCAGCCCAGTGCCTGCATTTGCATGTGTGAGTGAAGCTGGCTGTTCAGGAGAAGAGGGGAAGAGGTAGAGGCTTTGGCGTCTCTCAGTTTTGTGCTAGGCAGAGAGAAGTAGAAGCAGACAGCTGACGCCCAGCATGCTATTCCAAATCCTCTTCTGGGAACGTGAGGCGCAGAGGCTGCGGGAACAGAAGGTGAGCAGAGGTGTTATGTGGTCTGAGCCGTGGTGAGCATTGCAGAGTTGGGGTCTGGAGGGAGAATGAGGCCAAACCTAGCTCAGCAAAATAGATACGAATATCTGGAGGGAGGGAACTTTCTCTGCAAGACTGAAAGGGGTAGGTAGCCTGTGGGAGCTTGGGAATGAAGTGACGCTAGCACTGTGATTCCTTTACCCCAGCTGGTTGGGGCCTGCACAATACCTAACACCCAGTATTTACTCTCAGTGAATGTTTCAAACCAAGCCTGCAGAAGTGCTTATTTTGGGTAGGCTGTGTTTGCTGAATGAATGAATAATGAATATTTGTCAGCAGAAGCCAAAGGACAGGATACCTGACCCCCCTGGCATGGTCAAATAAGTGCTTTTAGGAAGTGATGGAGGCCAACATGATCACATGATTATGTCCTCAGGAAAAACAGCAGCAACAAAACATCCCTGGTTGTCCTCAATCTCCAAGTCATTCTCTACATACCCTTTCTGTTCTCAGTCTCAGAACTGTACCTAGCAGGTTCTGGGGAGGGGAGCACTTAGAGACAAGAGAGGAGGTCTGATGGAGACACAAGCCCAAGGAAGAGGACAGGGACCGCAGAAAATCTATGGCTGGACATAATTCAACAGGGAAACCAGGCCACTCCTCATTTCTTCTCAGATGTGACATTCGAATGAAAAACAATCAGAGGGAGGGTTGGTGATGCTGGCCAGGCAATCAGGAGAGAGGCATGAGCACTGAGGCCAGCGCATCTCTGTCTGAGAGCAGCAGGGCCTCGGTCCAGGAAAGACAGCTAGAATTACTGAACCGCTTGTCTCCTGCCCAATGTTCTGAAATTGGTCCACTTCTACAAATGCATGTGTGTGTGTGTAGGAGGGGCAAGTGTTACTTATTCCTCTGTTCAACTAAAAAAAAAGAACAAAGAAAACAACAAAAGCCATAGCCCATTCACAAAGGGTTTCTCATTAGGGCCAAGACTGAGAGTGCTAAAGCTAAATCAAATGTCTCCAGATCTCAGACAGAAACCCCCAGCCCCAACCCACCTCACTCAGAGGCACCCACCACGGAATTGCACTTGGTGATTGTCTCAGAAACCTACTTGTACTGCTTATCTCAGTCCATCTGTCCTTCCTGAATTCTTGCTATCCAAACTTGGCTCAATGTATAAAAATTCCCATTGAAAATAATGAGAATTTGATATCAAAGTGAAGTCCTCAAAAGCTGTAGAAGTGTGGGGTGGAGTAGGGATAGGGAAACAAAAGACAAAATTCAAACAGAAAGTGCAGAGGGATGGGGAAAAGGTTGAGTGGCCAAGTTAGTCCCCGACATCTGTGTCTCGATCTCCGATGAGCCAGAGGACATGGAAGCTGAGTGCCAGGAGCCCAGTGCCAAGCAGGTCTCCCAGAGCAGTCAAGTATGGGATGGAGAAGTTGTCTGGGTCCAGGCCACGGCCCCACATCCAGTGCACCATCCAGTCTGCGATGTACAGGAGAATCAGCACCTGGAGACAGAAGGCCCTGCCTGTAGCCATCACCCTCTGCAGAGGAGCCAGAGGCCACCAGATTACACCATTCAGTGTATCACAAGGCTTGGTCAGGCGCAGTGCTGGGGCTGGGACAGTTTACCTTCTCACCCTAGCAACCTCTCTTTGTTCTTCCACCCTATAGTTACCAACTGGAAAAATGAGAGCTCTTTAGAGAATAAGTTGCTGTTGTTGGGGTTACTTCCATCAGTACAACATTCTGCCTCCAAATTCACCAAACCAGGGGCTTCCTCATTGAAATCCTACCCATGCAGGAATTTAGCATTCTTGCTTTTAATTTTGGGTCACTCCAATTCCTGCCAGGTTGGCCTCTCCAGGAGCCTAGCAGGGGGCTGGCATTTGGACTCAGCTTTTCCTACACAGATTTTTTTTTTCTGGGCAGAGTGGGATAAAGGATTGTTTGAGGCTGCTACCGGAACAACTGTCTGAGCAAACTGGCTTTCTCCTAACCCTTCTCATTCTGCTGTTGTCAAGGAATGCAAGGTTAACATTTGTCCTAGCAAAATAAAATGGTCTACTACGCAGACAATGTATAGCAATTCAAAATACATTTTGGGTCATCTGCTGCTTTCATTTATCTGTGCTCTTGGTTACATTCCATGACTACAGATAATTAAGAATGATCTAGACAGACTCTTGCTAATGGGACCAGAACTGACAGCATTAACTGTAACAGGAGGCTTGTCGGAAATGCAGAAGCAAAGGCTCCATGCTCAAACTCTTGAGTCAGAATCTGCATTTTAACAAGATTTATGCTTTGAAAACAAAACAAAACAAAACAAAACAAAAAAAGGGTGGGGGCTGGGGATTTAGCTCAGCGGCATAAGCGCCTGCCTTGCAAGCAGGCAGTCGTGAGTTCAATCCCCGGTACCGATAAAAACGAAAAAGACAAAAAAAAAAAAAAAAAAAAAAAAAAAGATTTACGCTTTGGAATTGATGGTATACTTGATCTAGAATCCTGTGGTGGTGAAGGTCTGTGTCTAAATGACTATGTCTGTGTGACAACGAGATGGTTTCTAAAGGTCAAATCCAGTGTAGTCACGTAGAAGGTTTTACTTCTGTTACCCTTTTTTTTCCTTTGGTACTGGAGATTGAAATCACTACCTCATGCTTGCCAGGCAAGTGCTTATGCCACTGAGCTAAATCCCTGGCCCCTGTTTGTTTGTTTTTTAAGATACCTTCTTCACTAAGTTGACACGCCTGGCCTAGAACCTGAGGTCCTCCTGCCTCAACCTCCCAGGCAGCTGAGATAAGTGCATACCACCATGTGAGGCTGGGATGTTGTATTCTTGACTCTACTGTGAAAATACTGAAGTTTGTAAAGTCTGTCCTAAGGAACCCAGATGCTGGACCACAGTTCTTAAAAGCCAGAGTTGAGGGGCTGGGGATTTAGTTCAGTGGTGTAAGTGCCTGCTTGGCAAACTTGAGATTGTGAGTTCGATTCCCAGCACACACACACACACACACACACACACACACACACACACACACACAAAAAGCCAGAGTTGATACCTATTTTTAGGCTAACGTGGTTGCTCTCCTGTCTTCTCTCCAAGAAAGCCAAGGGCTACAGTTCCAGTGCCCCCTCTCATGACTACCTTCCCCTGCATGCAGCTGACTTGTATTACTGTGGCCCTGGCCCTGGGTGAAGCTGCCCTCTCTCCATTAACCTCAAACTCTTTACAGCAGCTGCAGAAGAGTCCAAAATAATGAGTGTGGCCAGGAGCCCTGTAGGATATGCTCCCGGATGGGAATGGCAGCAGCTCTCCTCACATCTAATCTCCTGAGCAGCCCCAGACATGCGGGGGAGGGGGGGGGCGCAGCAAAGAGATCAGGAAGAACTTTACAGGGGATTGAGTGTCGAGTGTCGCACTCTGCTCCTCCACAGATCTGGAGGAGTCAGCAATGGCCACAGTGTCCTCTCAGGCATTCAAGACAGGTAATGGAGCCAAGGCTTCTCTTTTATAACTTACGCCAAGAGATGAGCCGAAAACTTACGCTAGAGAGCCTTGACAGCTCCTTCTTCCCTGCCTCTCCCCAGCAGGGCTGCACTTGACCCCACTTGCAAGGGTGCCAAGCAGCTTGGTAAGTGCTGCTAAGCAACAGCATATGGCTGGTTCTCAGCCAGCCCTTGTTGTGATTTCTGACACACAACCACTCTATAATTGGGGGGTGGAGGGCCTAGAGGGCTAAGGCTTTATCAATAGACTAGCTCAATAAAAAGTAGTAATCCAGTACAGTGGTTCTGACCTCTTTTTGTCATAGAACCCTTCACTGAAATGAACCTCAGCATGCTAAACAGAATTAAGTGGAGCTCCGTGGTAGGCCAATGGAGTGGTAGCCAAAGCCCAATTGCTGAGCATCCTACTACCATCTGCCTGAATAACCACCTCTGCTCCATTCCTCTCAATTTCTGGATGTATTACTGAAGCTCAGAGAAGAGAAACAACTAGACCAAAGTCATGTAGCATGTTGAATGGCCTTTTGGGGCCACACAAAGTCTATTCTCTTGAGTTCTGTCCAGTTTACTGGCAGCCCAGATCCAGAGAAAGAGGTGGCATGATGTCTAATGGCCACGCCTGGGCCTCTTGTCCCATCCATGCAGGGGAGTCCCAACCCCTCCTTGTGCCCATCCGGGGCTAGACCATACCTGGAGCAGTGCAGCTGTCATGTAGAAGATGATGAAGATGAGTGTGAGGGTGGTGTGCCCGCCCTGCATACAGCTGATGGTATAGAGGAACACAAGGTGTCCTGGGACTACGAGAAGGAAGAGGACCCGGGCCGAGCGGGAATTTACATCTGGGATTGGGGGAGAGAGTGTGAGGAGGACAGGGAGAAGAGTCTTGGTTAGGGGGCCCACACCATATTCTAGGACTGCAGACAGCTCACTGTCCCTATCTTTCTATTCCTGGTCCCCCACTACCCAGGCCATCCCAGGAGAAGACTCCCTGGGCTCTTCCATCTGGAGCAGTCGTTACAGCCCAACAGAGAAGAACCTTGGACCTGGGCTCCAACTGCTTCTACCCTCCAGGGCTGCAATGGATCCGGGAGGCTGAGAACATTACCAGGGCTGAAGAAAGTGGTACAAGGACTGGGGCAGCGACGAGGAGCTTGCTCAGAGTTCTCCCCAGGCAGCCCATTCATGTGCAAGAAGGTGGAGATGCGGCTGGCCTGCACTGCCACCAGATTTCCCCCAACACCTGTGGAGACACGTAGAACTCAGACTCAGGCCAGTGAGGAGTTGGGCAAAATGATCTCCTGCTTCTTGACTTTTACTTGTAGAGCCACTGTCCTCTGTCTTCATTTATGCCCAAGTCTCAAGTCCCCAAAGGAAGGATGAGACCCGAAGGAAGGAGGTTCCCAGGCTCCTGTCTTGCCTTTTATGGCACGACTGTGAAAGTGCAGGAAGGACACAGACCACCAGCACTGGCCCTGCCTCTCATGGCATGTGTATCACTGAGGCTCATCTGCACTGGTGCAGGGGATCTGCTGGCTCAGAGCCTGCCGTCTCCACTACTACTGTATGTGAACAGCACTGGGGACCAGGCCCTGAGCACTAAGGCACCTGATGCTCAAGTGCTGGTTCTGGTAGCCAGTTTCAAGGAGCGGGTCTGAGCTCCAAGATCTGGAACTGGGTACCTCTCCCTGGAACTGAGCTGATTACTCTGCCTACTTCCTATGCTGCTCAGCTTTGCCCTGAGCCTGGAGGCTGACTGCTCCAAGCTGTAGTCTCCTCCCTGGGTGCTTCTAGTCAGGTCTATGCTGTGGGAGGAAGCAGCAGGTGGTCAGAGGGTGAGAGACTATGGTCAGGGTTTTTCCCTACTGGGGACAGAGACAAACTCTCTGTGACATAATTTTATGAGCACCTGCGACATAATTTCCAGATCCCCTGGCTCCTAAGGACTAGAAGTTTCCATTGTGGCTAACTGCTGGGTATCTCGACATCCCTTTTCAGTCCTTTTATCCTGATCCTACCTTGTGAGCATTTCCTTCATGAAAGTCTTGAGTTCTGAGCTGGCTTCTCCTGCCTGCAGGACCCACTGGAAACAGACGGCAGCCTCCCAAGTCCTCTTTCCCTCCCCCTCTTTTTTCCTGGCAGCTGATGCTCGGACCTTACCATTAATCACGGGTGTGAAGACAGCCATCCCTGCAAAGTTGGGGTCCGAGACAGTCTTGTCCAAGATGAGGCCTCCCACGCTAGACACACAAAAACAACATGAAACAAAGGCAGTTGTTGAAGGGTTCTCCTCTGGTCTTTGGGATGAGGGGCATAGGCTCACCTAGTCCTGGGGACAAACGGAGGCCTGATGGCTTTCTCAACTTTCAGCTCAGCCAGAACCAGTTGCTCCTGACTTGGCAAAGTGATCCAGGGCCAGTTGGTGGTGCCAGGTCAGGCAGCCACCTCCTGTGCTCACTCTCCAAGTTGCCTGGTGGAGCTGCCCACAGGACTCCCTGCCCATGATGACCTCTGGCATTCTGCCTCTTAGACATTTTTTGCCCTTTCTGGTACCAGCACTGGACTCCTTCTCAAGGAACCATCTCCCTTAAACTGAGTCACTCTGGTCCAGATGATACTGCTTCAGTGATGGCTAGGCTCCAGACTATCCAATCAAGAGTACTGTATGACCAAAACCACATTGATTGGCTCAGGATTAATGTGATCAGATAAGAACCAATGAAATGCTATTATTTATTTATTTATTTATTTATTTATTTTTGGTCTTTTTGAGACAGGGTCTCGCTATGTGATTGAGGCCGGCCTTAAGCTCACTTTGTAACCCAGACTGGTCTCGAACTTGCAACGATCCTCCTGCCTCAACCTTTCAAGTGCTGGGATTATAGGAGTATGCCACCACGCTCGGTTTGAAACTCTATTCTGAGACTTTGTAGAACTGGTGGGAAAAGAATCTCTCTGTTTCCACTGGAATTGAGAGGTCACCACAGAGAAAAGCAGAGCAAAGAGATGGCAAGTCCTGAGGGCCTGATGACAATGTATGTGCTCCTGAATCCAGCTGTGCTTTTTTAGTTTGCTAGGCCAATACATTTTGCTTTGGAATGAAACTCAATTCAGATAGCTCATGTCACTTGGGACCGAAGGACATGTAGCCAACACACTGACAGATGCAACACTAGTGTCCATGTTGGCCCCCTCCAACATTCAAAATGGAGTCTATGGCAGGGTGACAGTGAGGAGAGGGTGCATACTCAGGGCACAGCCCACCTGCTGATGGCCATGGCAATGATGACAGGTTCCCAGCCTGAATACAACACCTCCCTTGTGGCTGGGCTTCGTCGTGCCAGCACTATCCAAACAGGCAGCAGGGCCACGAAGAAGGCACACACCAGGGGGTAGATGTATCGCCAGTGATCTGAGAGGGCAAAGAGCAGAAAGCGATGAACATTGTACCTCCCTTGCACTAACCTCCTCCTGGCAGAGCCTGCAAGTGCCCCAGCAGACTGCCAGCAACACTGCACTAAGTGCCTGTCAGTACACTGCCTCATTTGACTGTCGATGCAGGCCAAGAAGGTGAGTGGGGCCAGCCATGTCCATTTTTTTTTTTTTTTTTTTTTTGGCCTTTTTCCTTTTTATCGGTACCAGGGATTGAACTCACGACTGCCTGCTTGCAAGGCAGGCGCTTATGCCGCTGAGCTAAATCCCCAGCCCCCACCATGTCCATTTTGTAGAGAAGGACATTAATGCAGAGAGAGCTATTCAGGCATTAAACCTATTAAGGGCAGAGACTGGACTCTTAAGTCTCGATTTGACCCAAAATCATTATCTCCCACCCTTTCTTTAGTATTCAAGCAAACTCCAGCCCCTAGTTCCTTCCCTTTCCCCTTTCTGCCTCACTCCTCCAAGACAAGCAAGATCCACAGGACCAAGCAGAAATACATGTAGGAAACTCTCCCCGAGCCCCTACCCCTGCTGCTGGAATGGATCTGAAATCAGCACTTAGCCTCTCCTCTCTAAAATCAGGTGTTAGGAAACCAAATGGTTAAGAACATAGAAAAACATCCTTGTACATTTGCAAAGGACCACTGTTTCTCCCAGTTCTAACCCAGTGTCCACCCAAGCCACTCCTGATGTTCTCAGTCTCACTTAGTTCCAAGTAGAGTCCCCAGCTGATGCCAGAGAGCAGCGCCAAGGTGATGAGGTCGCCCAGGCTGGCAGCAATGGGTGTGGCCACGTTGTCTGGGTTGATCCCAATTTTTCGAGATCCAATGATGACTCCAATCATGATCATACCTGGTGAGAAGGGAAGAGATAGAGGCATCTATAAACAAAAGGAGAGAGCAGAGAGGCCCACACCTTTGGGTTATCTCTCCTTACTGCAGTGTCCCTGCCCTTCCTTACCCAGCACCAGGGAGGCAATGAAGGCTGTGGCCACACTGCTGGCACACAGCAGGAAGGCATGCGGGATACTGAAGTGGCCATCTGGGATCCAGCCAAAGACGACGGCGGCAATGGACGCCAGGAAGCCCACAACCGTGGCCTGCACCTGGTGAGAGGCATGGTGATGTGCAGAGCCTGGGAACAGACAGCTTCCTGGCTGAGATCACTGAGCCCTCAGCAGCCTCAGGAGACAGGCTGGACGGGGCTGTCGGCTCCCTCAGGCTGAAAGGATGTCTTTATTTATTTAGTTTCACACCAGACACAAGTACTGGGCAGTACACCCTGCAGGAGCCCAGGACATACTACTGGCTGAATGAGCAGTCCTCTGGGGATGGAGGGTCAGACTCATGACCTGGGACGCTTGTGGGAAGACGCTAAATCTGGGACCTGTGTGGCCTCCCGGGGTGATGGGACAATAGTTGAAGTCACTTCAGCACTCTGCTATTATTGCTGGGATCCCTCATAGATGAGGGATCAAAGGCCTCTTCCCATCTGGGACCTAGAATAGGCCATTTTAGCCATTAATTTGGCTAAAAGAGATACTCTGCAGGAGATTCACTCAGGCCTGAATTAGCCTCATAGAGGTCCTGAGTAAGGGAAGCTTAGTCCACCCTCACCCTGCATGCCTTACCTGGATGAGGGCCATGTTGCCAGTGATCATCCGCCAGAGCTCCTTGGGTGTATCCATTTGTCCAATGTTGGCCTGGGAAAGGAAGAGTGAAGGGCTGGAGTCCCAGGCTAGAAAAGGCCTGGGGCGAAACTGTTAGATCCCTTCCTGGATTAAGAGGCAGAGTAAATACCTAAGACTCAGAAACCAGGACGTGAATGTTCTAAAGAAGCAAAGTAGGATCAGGGGCTCAGGGTGAGAGGGAAGGAGCTGAAGAGGCTGAGCTCCTGCAGCTGGAAGGGGTAGGAAGGGGGCTCCTAAGGCAGCTGTGTCTCTCTTCCTCTCAGGATGCAGGGGAAGCACCAGATTTCATTCTTTGTCTTGCTTGCCTGGGAAGTCCACTCCTGCATGTGTCACAACAACTCAACTTCTGGCCCTGAACCCAGCTCGCCATCCTTAGGAAGGAGAGGTCATCGGCTAGCCTAGGTGCGAGAGTGTTTAGGGAGGAGCGCTGGCATGGGCAGGAACACAGGAGAGCATATAGCAGTGGGTGAGGCTGGTTGCCTTTCTTCAGACTCTTGGCCCTGCAGGAATATCTCTGTGCTTTTGAGTTTTACTGCCTCCCACCTCCCACACCACGGCCCTATATCTGGGTCAGTCCTTGCAAGGTCATGGCCCATGTGAGTTGTGGGGGCTGGGACTGGTGAGCAGTCCTTCTCCATCTATTACCTTAAAGAGCAAGCTGCGACACTAACAGAAAGGCCAGGAGGGGGCTGAGAAGGCCTGGCTCTGCTCCTGCCCAGCTGCAGAGTAGGGCTGGAGATCAGAGGAGGCCCCCACCTGTGCTGGTGGAGGGATCAGCATGATGCTTGCCTGTCAAAGCTGCACAAACAGTCACGAGGCAGGTTTCGAAGCAGGGGGTGGGGTAGGCATCCAGGGATGGCTGGGACATCCAGAAATGGAGCCTGGGAACCACTTTGGGCAGGGAGCCCCTGCCCACGAGCAGGACACTCAGCCTGGGATCTCCCTACACCTGCCCAGCAGGGCTCTCCCCTCCCGCTCCGGCCCTACACTCCAGATCTGAGCAGTTGAGTAGCCACCTTCCAGTTTTGACTGCCCTTCCCCCCCGCCAGGACACTCACTGCGGTGGACAGCCTTGACGCCAGAGTCATTTCCAGGTTTCCCTTGAGCCCCAGCAGCGCAGGAACCAGGATGAAGACCTCTGTCACCTTCTGGAAGACCTCCCAGTGCTACAAGGTGAAAACAGAGCCCAGGAATTTCAGTGCCCCAAGGGGTTGGTGCTGGGACTGATTGGACCCTATAGGGTTAAGGGCTCAAAGAGGAAATGGATCAGCAGTGAGCACATCGGCCTCCTCTCCTCCAAGGCCTTGGAAGCAAAGCAAGGGCACGATTTCCAAACAACATGGTGCTCCTTCGGGCCCTAGAATAGGGGAGACCCCTAACCTGGCTCACACTGAGCCACCACCCCAAGCTGGTTTATGCTCCACAACTCCTTTGTGATTCCCCTTTTGAATCACACCCCCCAGCAACCCCTCTGCCTTTAGTCCAGTTTCTCTGTGGCCTTGGCCTTGGGTAGTGTTGTCTCAGCTGTGGAGAGCTGGGCTCCACAGGGCAGGGGCTGGTGATTAGAGCGTTTGTTTGGTTTCTATCTGCACAGGCTTTGGGACTCAGCCACAGTGACTCTCCCAAGCAGGCTCTGAATTCCGACTACGTCCCAGACTGGAAAAGGCCTGGTCTGCAAGGGTTTTTTTGTTCCTTTTCTGCACTCTCACCCCACACCCTTCCCCAACTCCTCAGCTAGCACAAGCAGGTGCACCCCTGCAGGAAGATCCTTGGCCTGGAGTCATGGGCTCTAGTCTCCACACAAGGAAACTGAGATACTAATTAATGCTAAGAGGGAAAAAGGGAGGAGCCAGGATTGGTTATTTGAAAGTCCCTGTAATCATAATGGAAACAGAAATTATTAAAAAAAGCTGTGGTTGTGTAGTTTCCCTGGCCCTGATAGGGAACGTAGTTTCCTGATTTCATCTCTTTATTTATGGAGTCCAATTCTAGGACTGGGGAGGGGTTGGTATTTCATGGGTGTAGTTTCTTTTGGGGAAGATGACAAAGTTCTGAAGATCTTCTGCATAATACTATGCATATACTCAATACACAATCCAACTGATTAAAATGGGAGATTTTGTTATGTGTCTTTTACTACAATTAAGGAGCTAAACAGGACTAGCCAAAGGGGCCCGAGTGAGGGCCAGGGATGTGAGGAGGCTGCACACTGGGGAATCCCATAAGGGAAAGGCCAAGTTTCTGCTGTGTGTGTGCACACACGCTTGTTCAGCAGGCCCCACAGGACTCCAGGGAAGGGCTCATTTCATCAAGGCTGGAGCATATACTTGTCTGAGTTCTTGGGCCTAGGATTCTTTGTGAGGTCCCTACAACCTCTCAGGGAACTCTACAACTCCTTAGGGAGCCTCTCTGGTAACTGCTGAGATGAGGTGTCCCACCTCCAAAGCAGTGCCAGAGCTTTCAGGTGTGATGCAGTAAAAACCTGCCCCTGCTCACCTGCAGCAACCTCAGGGGAGCTTGGGGACATGTTCAGACACAGCTGATGCTCACCCTGGGGTGCCAGCTCCCGGAGGTCTCAGTCTCTCTTGGCTTTGTGTTGTCCTTCCTCCCACACTGGACAGGAGCTCCAGTGAGGTGGAGGTTCCTTCCTGTCTCCAACTGATCAGGGTGCCAATTGTGGGCTCCTTGAAGGTCCCCTGAGAGCACAGCGCACAGCCAATCTACTACCACTTCCAAGCTACCAGTCCCATGCAAACTCTGCTCTCCACACAGGTGAATAAAATGGGCATTTTGGACAGAGAAAGAGCCCAAAGAAAATATTCCAAGTGTATGCAATGAATTTTCTGAATTGTTTTTAAGGACGATTGTTTGTTTTTATTATATTCTTTTTGTCTGTGTGGTGCTGGAATCGAACCCAGAGCCTTCTGTTTGCAAGGCAAGAACTCTACCACTGAGATACATCCCCAGCCCGTTTTTATTATTAAGGAAAAAAAAAAAAGTAAGTGGCTCAGCTAAGATCCTCTGGCTACCACTGTAAGCACCCCCAATCACTCCACCTCCCAGCACACATGCACACTCTTTTTTAACTGCAGGAGGACTGGGGGAGTAGGGGATTCCGGGGGATGAGCTGAGACAGACAGACGAGCAAGTGGGCAGGTACAGTATGGCCCCTGGGTCCCTGTGCAAGTCTTCTCAAACCTCAGAGAATATGGCCCAAATTCACACTGCCCAATTCCAGCCCAGCAGAGACCCAGTGGCACCCAGTGGGCCACAGCAGCCAATTCTTACACTAATTTCTCTTCCATCCACTAAACGTTCTCAAAGATGCAGCCAGGCAGGTGAGGCTGTGTCACGCAAGGGCTATGCAGGACTCTGGGAAGGGATCTCGGACAGCAGGTGATGGCAAAACAGGGTGGTCCTGAGGTCAGGAACGAGGAAGATGGGGCAGAATAGACAGTGAATACCTTTGTCCTCCTTGGGACAAATTCAGGCCCATCCTGCTCGTCCTGGTTGGGAGTGTCTTTCCCTGAAGTCAAACCAGTCAGTCAAGCCACTGGCTGAGCCACCACCCACATCTTCCTGCTCTGCTGGGATGGAAAAGGGTCCAGGAAGCCCTACACTGCACCAGAGGGGTGCATGAGGGGTGTGTGTGTGTGCGCTTACAGATTCTCACTGCCTTTCAGAATTGAAGCCCTTCTTTCTCTCTCTTTGTGGCAGGTGGCTCATTAGCTCCTCCTGATACTCTGAAAGCGAGGGATGAAACTGTTCCCCTCATACACCCCTCAAAACACATCCCGATTCACAGCTATCATCCTAAGTCTCGATCCCAGTGGTCCTGCTGTTATCTCTCCCCTTTACATATCCAACATTTTCTTCCATCCCTCACCTCTAGTGGCCTCATACACTGACCCCCACCTGCCTTCAGGTCTTCTGGCTGAGTCTTCTATTCCAGGAGGAAGTGGCAAGGAGGGAAGTGGGGTCCAGGAAAAGAGTAAATTCCCAGGTACGAGCTCCAGACATTAAGCTGTAAGCAGGCCTGTGGACCTGCAGGCCAGTAGCAGAAGGATTGCTTTCCTCCTGCCGCTTTCCTAGGGCCACGCTGCCTTGGTAGATTCTTCGTATACACAGAGAAAAGGGGCTCTGGGGAGGGGCTTACTTGGGGAGGACCTGGGAGACCCCCTATCCTAATGCAGCAGGGAATTTTTATGGGCGCTGTACCTCCTGCTACCCCATGTTCATCACAACATGGGAAGCAGGGCTGGAGTGGACTTTTCAGGTGAGCCTGGGTCACAGTATCTTGGCCTCCACCTGTGAGCTTCCCCAGAGGTGACATCTCAGTGTAGAGCTGTACAAAATCTGAGAAAAGCAAATGGGATCCTGAGAACACTTGGGAGGCAGCAATGGGCCACGCAGAAAGGTGATCAAGAAAGATGGGGTCTGAGTGTCCTGCTCAGGAATGTGGTGGCCACAGGAGCAGGCCAGTAGCAAAAGGATTGCTTCCCTCCTGCCACTTTCCTGAGGCCACGCTGCCTAGGTAGATTCTTCTGTATACACAGAGAAAGGGGGCTCTGGGGAAGGGCTTACTTGGGGAGGGTCTGGGAGATCCCCTATCCTAATGCAGCAGGGAATTTTTATGGGCACTGTACCTCCTTCACCCCATGTTAATCACAAAGGCTGGCCATAAAAGAGAGCAAGATGTCACGAGTTGGACACAAAGCATCATGGTGTGGTACTGCCCATCTGACCCTCTACACCTTTTAGTACCGGGGATTGAACCCAGGGCCTACATGCTGAATCAGTCTCTTTTCTTACTTTCTTTTTCTGAGATAGGGTCTCACTAAGTGTCTGAGTTATCTAGCTGATCTCAAACTTTCAATTCTCCTGCCTCAGCCTCCCACAGCATCCCCTTCTGAAGCCAACATTAGGCCCAAGGCTGTTTCTCTCCCAAATGCCAAAGGAAATTTGGTCATGGTAGGCAAGCCAGAGCCAATGGAGCCTATTTATCCTTCTGCTACCCTGGTGAGCACTTCAGTTCCTTATTTCACTGCAGAGGCTGTTATGCCTGTGCAGCAGAAGAGAGGACAGATAAGAGGTGGAAAAAGGAAGAGACTAGGTCTTCAGAGCAGCTTCAGACACCTGACCTGGGCCCACACAGACTGTTGCTCAGCTGGTCTGACACCGGGACCCACTATGGCCACCTATCCAGGTGTCCCCTGTCTCTGGCATTTCTGGTTTCTGTCTCTGAAAGCTGTGCTAAAGGAACATACAAGTGCGAGTCCTTAGAAATCACCCTGCTCCTCCTGTATTTGAGGTCATCAGTCACTTTTTTCCCCTTCTTTGGATGCCCCTCCCCTCCTACACCCTCCCTTACCCAAGATCTTGCTGCAGCCATCTGCAGGCTTTGCCCTGCCCAGCTGTAGTGGGGAGGCTGGGGAGGCGGGGATAAGGACAATTCAGCCACTGTTACCCACGGCAACTGGACCTTAGCTCGGGTGAGCTGCGGTGCCACACTGAGGGCAAATGCCAGCTTCCGCGGGCACACAGAGGAAAGAGCTCAGAGGTGCCCTGTAGCCTAGGCCCTCAGTGTCTCAGGCTCACAGGCATGGGGAAAGGCTCTCCAAATCAGGGACCCTGAAAAGTGTGGAAGGGTGGGTGGGCAGATGGCTTCTTGGTCCCTGTAAGAACTGTTCTTGTTCATCTCAGAAACTAACTCCACTTGTTCCATACCCCAGTAACCCTGCTCTTCACAGAAAGACAAAGATAGCAGGCTCTTCACAGTCTTCAACCAATTGGCAAACTATGGACATGCTGAAGGTCACAGAAGTTAATAGGATAAGCTCTGGGGACAGATGACCAGCACAGTTATCTCAGCTCTCTACCAACAACTACTAAATGGAGACAATATGAGACATGTTTCTTACCTCACAGGCCTAAAAAGCCCCCAAAATGCTTCTCAGAAAATAACTCACCTCACAGTTTATCACTAGACCCCAGCTCTGTACCCCACTCCCTCTTTTTTGATGCCTAGGAATTGAACTCTGGGCCTTGTACATGCTAGGTAAACTCTCCACCACTGAGCCACAACCCCAACCCTGCACCCTCCACCATGGACACCAATCTAGAACTTAAAAACTTTAAGAATAAGAAAATGAAGGTCCTAGGAAAGGAATAGAGGAGATGGACAAAAGGTATCCCAATTTCATTTTCTTCTCTTCCTCTCCTCGCTGCTCACTGCCATAGCAGAAGGGCTGCCACTCAGGGAAGAATTCAAAACTCTAGGCTGACTTCCTAACCTCCATATAGAACTATCCTCACAATAACACATTTGGAGCAGTACCAGGCACTCTGGCATGACACAAACACAAACATTCACATTAGGAAACAAAGGTGCAGGGTTCTCCTGAAGGCCTCACGGTCTATGTGGACACTACAAAGAAGCCACCTAGAATCAACCACCTACAACTCCCTGAAATGAACACAGTGAGCTCCACCAAGAGCCACTACAGTGCCACATGTGTGGTCTGCAGTGTTGTCTTGGCACAGGAAGGTAATACCGGGCTTCATGTTCTTCTGGGAGAGGTCACAGTCAGGGAATACTGAAGGTCCCCAAGGGCATAAGCCAGATTGCATCCTGCTCCTGTATTTCCCAGAACTCCCAAGACAAAGCTTGTACTTGGGAGGAACTTGATACACACTCCTGATGAACTTAGATAAATCTAGCACCTTCAGAAGACTCTGTCTTACTGCATGGACTTCAGAAGGAAGTTTTACCTAGAAACAAGATGCTAGCTCCCCAACCTGGAGGTCCTGGGTCAGAGAGCCCTAAGTCACAATACCCTCAATGGAGTGTGTTCCTGGCTCTTGACTCTCACATCCTGCCAGCTCTTACCCTTCTTTTTACTTGAGGTCCTCATAAAGAGCCCTCTTTGGCCAGGACAGGTTGATAACAGACAGGTGAGGGGCAAAGAGGAGAGACAGCCTTCTGCCCAAGCCTGCTTGCATTCTGTTCCCATTTACAGCACTCATCAGCTCCTTTAGGTCTTGTTATGCCAATTCCTCACATCATGCATTAGACGGCATGTGCCCCCCCCCACTGCCCAAGAAGACTGTGCCAAGACTGCAAGAAGATAAGCAACATGAAATGCCTTTAAAAGCTTTTTCACTTCATCTGAGACCCTCTTGGCAGAGGAACAAATTCCTGCCCAGCAGGGGAATGGAGGAGAGAGTTGAAACTGAGCTTTCTATCATGGGTATTCTTGAAACACCACATGAAGGGGAAAGAAGGCAACAAGAGATCATCTAGATGTCTCCTACTGAGTGCAATGCTCAGGAAGCAAGGTAAGCCACAGCCCTGTCATCTTTCCTCCTCCAGCCTGAACTCTGGAGCCAATTCTGTTACTATTAAGCAGTACTGCCCCATCATCTTCCTGGGCTATTCAGCTTCTGCAAGGATTCTGTAGAAAGCTATGCAAAGGGAAACAGGATTCTAGGAAGCAGTAGCTGCTTCTGACAGCAGGTGGAGAGGAAGTTTCAAAGGCCTCAGTCCACCCAGGAAGTTCACAGGCCAGAGCCACCCTACCCAAGTCCTACCTGCACAATGTCCAGCACCATGCCGGCAGCCACAGTTCCAAAGCCTGCCAGGAGGAAGGGAAATAGCACTTGCAGCCCAATGGAAAAAGAAGTCTCCTTGAGTGGAGAGGGTGGTGCAGGGCCACGGTCTGTGCTGACGTCGTCACTTTCGTTGCTCTGGCTCCCGTTTTCCAGCAGGGCGTCCTCCTCCCGAACCCCCTTGGCGTTGGCCCGAGACTCAATTACCACCACCTCCACCCCAACCCCATCAGGCCCCAGGAACTCTGAGGTCCCAGCCAACGGGTCGCGCCCGGGGCCATCTGAAGCACAGGGAGAGGGAGTAGGGCCAGTCCCATTCAGCTGGTAGACGTCCTTTGGCTCTGGCTTAGAGGACATGACGGGCAGGGAGGAGAAGAGAGGAGTACTTTTTTTCCTGCTTTCTCTTTCTCTAACTTGGGAAAGAACTTAGTCTTGGTGTGAACCCAGGCTTGTCCTGTGGCTCTCTGCTCCTACCAGGCAATGCAAAAACTGATCCACCTACAGGCAGCCCCATCAAGCACTACAGCCTAAGCTGGAGGAAAACAAGAAACTCCTCACTAGACACGGCTGCCTGCTACTAGAAGGTGCCTGCTTGGGTTGCCCTGGGCTGGGCTTGGGAAAATCGGTCTGGCCTCTTATCTTCTTTGGTTCTCAGCAGCAGGCTCCTCAGAGCAAGAGGCATCCAGAGAAGGGCTCAGCCCAAGTTTGCAGTGACCCCCTGAAGCTGGCCCTCCCTGGTGAAAAGTAGACTGAGTTCAGATCTTTTGGAACTGGAGCTGAGGTTCCTTCCCACTTCTCCTGCTGGGTTCTGTCAGCTTTCCACAGTGCCTCAAGCTTGGCTGGTCCCAGAGATGTGTCTGCTGTGTTTCCCCTCTCTTCCCAAGATTTCCTCCCCTCCTGGGAAGACGTGGTACCTCCCCAGTTGCCTGGTCCTTAAAGTCACGAGAATTTGTGTGGAATACCTTATGTGGGAAGAAGAAAAAGAGAGAATGTTACCGTACTGTAGAGAACAACTCCTGCAGACGTAATTCTCCAAGACAGTTAGCAGTTAGTTACAGAATTTGCTATTTTCTCTAAAATTACTCATCTTGCACTGCTACCTCTATACCTGGTGGCTGAACAGGTGCTATTTGCACAGTCTCCCCATCCAGCAACATATTGCCCCCAGGAAAATGCTAGTACTCCCCACCCCCAGAGTTGTCTTCCCTGCAGCAAGCCCCGGGAGGGGGGGGCAGTGTTGTCTTCAGGGAGGGCTGTTGTTCTTGAACCCCTTTAAGAGCTCGGGATTATTTAAGTGTGAACTCTGAGCTAGTACATTACAAATTAGGTTGCAAACTCCCCACGCAGCCACTCCACTGCAGGAAGTGACTGTTCACTTATCCCAGGACAGCAACAGGAGGACAGCTGCACAGGGCAAATAAACAGGGAATCTCTGGCCACTGAATGAAGACCCCTAGACCCTCAAATGCCCTGGCTCCCAAGAAAAAAGAAACTAAGAGAACTCCTCAGGCAGTGGGGCAAGCCTGCCAGACCAAGGCCAAGAGCCAGAGGCCGGCCCACTCCTGCCCTTGAGAGTCACCAGTGCTACAAAAAGCTCAGACGCTGACTTGGGTCCAGGCCTCTGTCTCTACTTCTTTTTCCCTGTGCTTGGCCCTCTGAGCCTGTCAGATAGGAGGCAGTTATCTCCATTTGAAAGGACGGAGGGTTAAACTCCTGGTTATTACCCACACATTTCAGTAGCTTGGCATCTCCGTCCCCAGGGTTACTAAGCATTGGATATAGTGGAATTCTTAAGAACAAAAACAAAAAACTTGAAGTATCAAGGAGAGAGAAAGAAAGAGAGACAAAGCAAAACAAAAGCCCCAAGCACCCTAAGCTAATATGCACTTGCCCCCAAATCACCTCTCTGGCTGGTATGGCCCCATTCTCCTTTGCCTAAAGGAGCCCCCAGGCCTCCATCCCATCTTGTTCCTTCGTACCAGAATGACTCTCACAAGAAAAAAAAAATTTTTTTTAAAAAGAGGGTTTCTGCAGGTAATGAACAAGCCCTTAAGTATTCCAAACACTCTATTAGCCAACTTTAGTTCGAGAATGGTTGAATCAAATTCCAGGAATTGGCCCAAGGGAACTGTTTCTTTTTCCTGTCAACTCCGCCACCCGCCCGGACCCTCTTCCACCTCCTGAAGCCGGGCACTGTGTGCCACAGAGTCAGGAGGAAAGCCCTGATCCATTGCCCCACGCCAGGAAAGTTTCTGAGTCTGCTAAAACCTGACACCCCCGCCCCCTCCTGTCTTCTGGGCAGTCACTTAACCTGAAAGGGGTCTCCCCGGATCGACTGCTGGCCACCGGCAGTGCACCCACTCTCTCAGGGCGGACACTTCCGATGGGCCTCAGGCCCTGGGACGCCCCATCCCCTCCTCCCAGGTGGGGACTGAAAAACTCCGTTTGGTCTCCCCATCCGGGAAGAGGGCGAAGTAACTGGGTGGCCGCAGCCGTCTCTCCACGCTCAGACTCAGCAAATGCGCAGCGCGCCAGGTTCCCCGCCCCCCAGACCCACCCCACTGACCTGCCCCTCGCGTGGGAGGAAGGGGGCGCCTGGCGAGCGGCAGCAGGGGCCCGTGGTCTCGGGGGGTGACGGGTACCCCCTCTTCTCATCACTCCTCCTCCTCGGCAGTCCTCCTCGGCCCTGGCGTGTCCCCTAGACCCCCAGCCACGGCGAGCGTCCAGCCGCGACCCCCGGCTCGCTACATCTCGCTAGAACGTTACAGCGAGGCCGCCGCTCGGCTTCCACGAGTGGGAGATGGCCGGGAAGGCAGGATATAGCGCCTCGGGCCGGCGGGGGGGGGGTACCCGGACAGGAGACCAGGAGCCGAGCTCACTCGCCCCCAATCGTTTCTTGCCCGCGGTCTTGGGCCCGACTGGTTGGCTGCCGGTGGCAAACGTGATCTGGGGCAGACTGGGTGGTACCCCCCCCCTTCCATCAAAAATAGATTCCGGATGGGCAGCTGCGGTAGCCAATCGGGAGCCGGGGAGGGACGAGCCCGGCCCCTGCCTCCGCCCCTTTCCTTCGCTCTGTGCGCTGGAGGCGGGGCTCCGGGGAGACGCAGCGCGAGTGACGGGAACTGGGAGTCGGCTCTGCGGTAGCGGGCTCGCCGGTCCCAGCGCCCATCGGCCGGCGGTGGCCCCAAATGCCCGCCACCTCGCGCCTGCTCCGCCGCGCCGGGGCATCTGTGCCTTTGAGAGGCCCGCGCGCCGGTTCACGTGCGCCCCGCATCTTGTGTCCTCTGCGCCTCTGGCCTTCCGGGAGATCGGCGAGCATCCCAGCGTCGCGGCCGGCCAGCTCGAGCCCGCGCTCCGTGTCGGGACCCGACCGTGCCTACCTTATCCTCGGACCCGGTTCCTTGTTCTCCACGCCGCTCGTCACCTCGCGCTTCCGCCAGGTCCCCAGTTCCTCTAAGCAAATGGCTCAGCCCTATACGGGTTCGGCCTTAATAAAGTCCAGACGCGAAAGGGGTGGGGATGGGCGGGAGGGAGGCGAGAGAGGTCAAGTTCACGGCTGGGGTCCTTCCGCCTCACCTGAGGGGAGCCTTGTGGCCAAATAGTGGGGAGAGGTTCCCATCCCAGGCAAAATGAAATCCAACTTTCCCTGACGCACCTCGCGGCATCAAAGAGGGGTGTTTCCGCCTCGCCTTTGGCTACTTCCTCCCTGGGGTATCTCCACCTCTCCAACGCACTCAGTACCAGTGCTCTTTGGGATGTTTTTGTGAACCCATACTTTCAGCTTTTCCTTTTGGTCAGTGGAACCTGTGACCAGTGATTCCTTCCTGCCCTTTCCCTCCAGGAAAGTGGCACGGGGGCACTGGAACTGGACCCTGACCCCTGCTTGGGGATTTGGTACCAAGATAGGTCGGGGCGCATACTCCAATTTGTGTAGGCCTTTCCTTTGAACTCGGAGGATAAATACGTGCCAAAACCCCGACTCCACCCTGCAATCCAACACCTGTAGGATTATTCCAGCTCAGCTGCTGGGGCATTTGTGAAGGCCTTCTGTCTCACAGGACCCAGCAAAGCAAATGTCAGTGATTTAAAACCCCAATTTTAGCTTTTGAGCCTGCGTCTCTGCCAGGAGATAGGACTAGCTTAGAGACAGAGAAAACACTAGACCTCCTCCTAAAGGATCAGGTTCGTGAAAGGGGGTGTAGTGTTCGGTGCCGAGTTAAGACTGATGTATGTATCTGGAGACTTTTCAGTCCAGGGCTGAAAACAGCTTCTGCCTTCTCCTTTTAATCTTGCCATAGCTCAACTACCTATGTATAAAATCTTAATCTTTCTCCTCTTCCTTCCCATCTTCCTAATTTTACCCACTTGAAAAATTCCCCTGTCCTGTAGGTGCTTTTCACTTTTAATTGAAATATACCAGACATATGGGAGTGTGCCTAAGTGTTCAGGTTAACAGGTTATAGCCAGCACAAGCCTGTAATCCCAACACTTGGGAAGCTGAGGCAGGAGGATTGCAGTGAGTTTGAGGCCAGCCTGGGCTACACAGTAAATTCAACCAGCCTGGACTACATAGTGAGACCTTGTCTCAAAACAAAACAAAACAACACCCCCAAAACCAAAAGCCCAAACAAACGAATGAACAAACAAACTAACAGATTAACAGGTTATGACACAGTGAACAGATCCATCTAGCTGCCATCCGGATCAAGAATTAGATCATTATTAGCACCCCAGAAACCCTCGTAGGCTCACCCTGTCTCTGCCTCACCCCATTCCCAAAGATGATCTTTGTTTAATACTATAGAGGGGTTTTGCCTTCCTGCTTTATGAATTTTGTATAAATGGAACAATTCAGTAGATATTATTTTGTGTATGGTTTCTTTTACTCAATATTATGTGAAACTCATCCATAATGTGTGCTAGCAGTTTATTAATTTTTCCATTTTTGCATAGTAAGCCATTAACACAATTTATTTGTTGTTCTTTCGATGGGCATTTGGGTTGTTCCCAATTTGGGGTCATCATATGAGGTATATGAGGCTATAATAACATTTTTTTTTTTTTCTGTTCATGCTGGGCTTGAACTTACTATGTGGCCCAGGCTGGCCTTGAACTCATGGCAATCCTCTTGCCTCAGTCTCCTGAGTGCTGGGCTTGTAGGCATGCGCCACCAAACCTGGCCTTTTAATTTTTTTTTCGTATTTTTTTCTTTTTGTGTACATTTTGATTCATGTTTTTTGGTGTACTTTTTTTTTTTAAGTGCTGAAGATTGAATCCAGAGCCTCTCCACTGAACTAGCTCCTTAGCTGTTTTTATTTTTTTATTTTGAGACAGAGTCTTGCTAAATTACCCAGGCTGGGTTGAAACTGGGAATATTCTTGCCTCATCCAGAGTACTGGGATAATAGGCATGCACCATCCTGCCTGGCTCATACTTCTACTGGAAATATATATGGGACTCTGGGTGTGGTTGCACATGCCTGTAATTCCAGTACCTAGGAGGCTGGGGCGGGGGGGGATTGCCCTGAGTTTGAGACAAGTCAGGGCTGAATAGTGAATTTAAGGCCAGGTAGTGAGACCCTGTCTCAAAAACAAACAAACAAACAAAAAAAAAAAAAAAAAAAAAGGAAAAAATAAATCAAAGGAAATATATATGGGAACAGAATTATTAAGTGGTCGTGTAGACGAATGTTTATCTCTAGTAAATGTTATTAAACAAATTTTCCAGTGTGCTTGTGTTAATTTATACCCCTGCTAGCAGCGTCTAAGAGTTCCAGTTGCTTCATATCAACACTATCAACACTTAATACCCTGTATTGTCAACCTATAAAAGAGTGAAAATTGAGCCATTCTTTTGGATGCATAGTAGCATTTCATTGTGGTTGAGCACGTTTTCATACTTTCATTTGCTGCTCTGTTTAAATGTTGTCAATTTTCTCTTAGTCTTTTCTATCTTACTGCTTTGTAATAATTCTTTATATATTTCAGATAGGAGTCCTTTGTAAATTATATAGGTATTACAAGTGTTTCTATGAGTGTATAAGTATGGAAGATCTTATTTGAGGTCTGCTGAAGGATCAGGGCCACCGTAACAACACTATACTCTGTATGTGTGTGTTTGTATGTGTGTATGTGTGCGCACGTGTGTGCATGTGGGTTATTGAGGATTGTCTCTACCACTGAGCTGTATCTCCAGGCTTTCTTTTTCTTTTTCCTTTTCTTTCTCTTCAGGGTCTTACTAACTTGCCCAGGCTGGTGTTGAACTTGGAATCTTGCTTTAGCCTCCCCAGTGCTGAGATTGCAGACATGTACCACCACGCCTGGGTATAATCTGTATATTCTGATCACTGTGTGTTTCTGGCTCCTGGCACAGAGTAGGTACTCAGTAATTGTGTTAAGTGAATGATGAATGAACTAGATGAGAGTCATGAGTAGTGTGCCCTGTGTTGTGTTGATCCCTAGAGTCAAACACAGAGAAGTCCTGGAAGAGCAGATTTCCTTCTAGCCAACGCAGCTGTAACCTTGGGAAGGGGAAGACATCCCAGCCTTTTTCTGCTAAAGGGTAGAAATAGCTACAGTTTGAACAGAGCAGCACAGATGTGGAGAGCAGAGGTCACAGATGAAAAGACAGGAACTAGCAGCAGGTATCAAGGCAACTCATTACTTCAGAAGGGAAGTCTCAGTTGGGGATGTCTAGGTCTGTGAGCATCTTGTGGTCCTTTGTATGACAAGAACATCTAAAGATCACATGGTCCTCATCCTGCCACTAGAAATCCCCCGCTCTTCAAGTTCCTTAGCTGGGGGCTCTTCAACACTTAGAAACATGTTTCCTTCTCAGGGAGGCCTCCTGATACTTTGGTCACAAGGTCTTGTTCCTGCCTTTCACTGGGACATCTTTTATTTTTTTTTCCTGCCATAATATTAACTTTCTCATATTCTGTAATGTCCATCCTGAAGATGAAAGGCCATTTGGTAGCTGTCAGTATCTTCTCCAAGAAGACTGGATGAGCCTGTTGTACCCTTCAGAACCTTTGGCTTGTTTTCTGTCTGTGTGGTATCCTCCCTCCTCAGCTTCAGAGCTAGTGCTGAGATCAGGTTGGATCAGGAATCTCTGGCTTATTCTTATTACTAGAGGGGAGAGATTCCCCCCCACCTTGCAACACCTTATCAAGCTCATAAGATTTTCTCCCCTGGTTCTCTAGAAGATAGTGTGGCATTCACTTAGAGACTAATCATTGCTCTGGAAATTTCTAAATAAGATGAGGTTGAGCTAGCAGTCTAGTTGGAGAAAAGCTGGATGATCTATCATCAGATGATGTTTCAATAGCAAGTTTGGAATTTTCATTCAGAATATAAATCTTTTGCAGCGGGGAAGGTGATTGTGGGGAAGGAGAATTGTTGATCATCCCCAGGGGTCTGTGAGGATCTGATGAGGGCATTGCTTTCCGGGGTAGACTTCTTCAGTCTTGCTTAGCGTTATCCTGATACAGGGACCATTTAACCTCTATGCTGAGGTTCTCTGGCACCATGGCCTTTTTTCAAGGACAGCTGCTGTCCACCAAGGACAGCTACTGTCCACAAGGACTTCTCCAGGGATGATTTGGGTACTCATCCTGAGTAAAGTTCCAAAGCCACATGGACCTAGGCACCCTCGTTAGCATGGCAGAGTCACAAGACAAACCTGGTGTGGCTGGAAACTTTTCTGTCTTTTGTTTTGCTGGGGAAGGGTACCCCCTCCCATTTTTCCCCTCGCTGTAACCCCTCCCCTGTAACCCCGGAGGTCAACTACTTTCCGCTGCCCTGAGCGGAGGTGATATCCCCTTCCGGCTTCCTTCGGTTCTAGGAGGATATAGTGATGGGGGGTGTAGAGAGACGTGTGGTCATCTGGGCCCAGAGCTAGTTGCTGTGACCATCCCCTTGGCTTCCCTCTATTTGAGCAACCATTT